CTCTCTCTCTCTCTCTCTCTCTCTCTCTCTCTCTCTCTCTCTCTCTCTCTCTCTCTCCTCCTTATATAAATAGGATATTTCTATAATGCAAATTTTTGTCTTCTTATGTATATATGTATATATGAATATATATTCTTATTTTTTTCCTTTCCATTTCATAATTCTATCAATATAAAAAAGCAGAGATAAAGCCAGTGGCGCGGTAAAGATCCACCGGTGATCGTTCGAGATGATTTCCTGTATATCGGATTGGATCTCGTAATCCGATAAACTGTCGCCAAGTTTTCAGACGATCAGTATTTTGTTGGCTTTATTTAACGTGTTCAATATTACGCAGATGTATCCTATAATATGTCTTTGCGAAAACAAAGTGAGGTCATCTCAAATGAAAATTGTAACAATCATTTCTGTCATTTACTCGGAAATAGAAGAAAAATAATATCCTTGAAGAAAAATATCTCCGCGAAAAGTAAGATATATATATATATATATATATATATATATATGTGTGTGTGTGTGTGTGTGTGTGTGTGTGTTCTTTCAATATTTGATTATGTATCTTTGGACGATATTAAGACTCCAACAAATAGCTTCCCATCCTCTTCGCTCGATTAAACACTAAGGCGAAGGAGAGGAATCGAAAGAGTGGAAACGACTAAGCTGATCGCAGAGATTTCAATATTCATCTAACGATCGGACTGCGGATTTCTATTTAAAGCGTTGTGTAAAACATGAAGACGCATTCCCGGAATTCGTTAGACGTGCATTTCGCTATTGCGTCGATTAAATAAATTCCCGACAGCAGGAAAGGACGAGAGAACGTGGCGAAAACATTAAAGAGTTTCCTTCACACTCGGGAGTTTCCGTAACTCGATAGCTTTCTCGCCTTGGCGCACTCCAGTCGGTTCTTCTTTGGCGCTGAGCTGCACAGGATAAACGGCCAGTGGATGAGACGATAACGTGAAAGTTACTTGGTGATCGTGTAAGGCAATCGTCCGTGTATCGTGTTTAATCCTCTAGCTCTCTGGTAACAGGATCAACATCGAGGGGGAAGAAACTTTTTGGAAGGATCGCACGCGCGCGCCGATTAAATGCATCGCGTATTTACCAGATCGTCGCGTAGTCGATTCGCCGTCGAATAAACATCTGTCGTTTTATCAAACGAGATCGCAAATTGGCCGGGAAAGTAGCGGAAGAAGATGTCGAATGTGCGTAATTGATTAAACGCGATTTAATGAATTTGAAAACGAGACAAGAGAGAATGACAACCTGTTGACGTTCTGACGATTTTTTAAATTAATTTTTTTTCTCTTTGCCAGCCGTCGCATTTGTCCGTCATTCGGGGATTTCCACGTTTAAGTATGCATTGAAATGCAGATAATGTATATGAACGCCGAATTAGAGACATAATTTATTATATAGCAATCGAAAATTGCCTAGTACAAACGTGTCGGTTTTATATTCTGTAAAATGAGCGCCAATCGAATCGATATTCGAAAATCATTTGATGAAATGATTGCCGTGGAGTGGATTAACCGGAAGTTCGAAATAGGCGATGGTAATTACAATAGATCGCTCGCATTTGGATCTCCGTTTATGGATGGATAACTCTGTAACGTTCTCAAATTTCTGACAGCTTCGAAGTGGATTACGGTTAGGATACTTTCACAAAAGAGGATCGGTTTGTGTAGTAAGCATGCACTGTATGTATTATCAGTATTAGTGAACCAATGAAACTGTATAATTAATGTTATTATAAAGTTATTATGTTAATTAATTATAATTAATGTATTCGAAATAATATAAATCGACATAAAAGAATCGATAGATCGATAGAAAAAAGTGAACAAGGCGAAAATTTAGAGAACTCTATTAATTGCATTGATTTTTAAATAAGACGTCTGTTTCTCATCTGCTGAATTTTTATTTACTGACAAATAATATAACATTAAAAAAAAGTTTCATCTTTTATAGCTTTTGATAAAAATCAAACTTTATTTAAAAAAAAAACTCTAAAAATTTGAACAGTTTATAATTTTTTCTTTTACTTTACGGAGTAAAATACATAAGAATTATCCATTCAGATTTGAGCATAGATATTGAGGAACAGAATTCTTGTAAATCAGTGTAATTTTTTATATTAAATATTCCTAACAAATATTATTATTTTAAAATTACTATTTAAAATTACGTAAATGATACACGATATCATACATTTATTTTCATATATTATAAAAAAGTACTTAAATTTTTAATTTTTGATAGCTATATTACATATATTATATAAGAAATTTAAAACGTAGTTAAAAATTTCTAAAAATTGACGAGTAATGCAATTTTTTTTTAAAAGTATATCCTTTTTCAATATGAAAATCTTTACGATACCTATTATTTATTGAAAAACAAAAAGAAATTAAAATTGATTAAAATTTGTTATTCAGTGTTATATTTAAAAGTGGACGATCTATAATAATTGAAATTCAAATGTTTCATCTGTTTCTAGCCTCGATAAAAATCCGATGTACATACATTTTAATATATCTATAATAGATTAGATACAATAAATAATTAAAAAACAAAAAGAATAAAAAAGTTCCGAGCATATATCTACAATCTATTGATTTAATATTAATAATCTATTGTTGTGTAATTTATATTCTAGCTAGAATATAGCGAAGAAATTTTGGCGTCTACTTCGTTGGGTCGATACAATGTCGCTCAGGTTGCGGATAGAAAATTTTGCGCTGATAAATATTACATAAATATAAGACGTAAAAAATGCAGGCAGGCAGCAGGGTTGAGGAATTTCCTTCACGTTCCGAGATGTTGGCGCTGCTGCTTTCGACGGTGCCAGGCGGCGTTGTAACTCTTCGACCGACATTACCGTGGGGCTCTACAAGAAACGCTGCGGGGCCCCCGCTGCCAGACGGAACGATCCCGCATATCGATCTTAATTCCGCAGTCTGGCGAGCAGATAAGCTCTCGGATGCTTAGCATTCAGACGATTTGAATTTTTAGCCGACTAGCCGAATTTAGTCGTTTCTCTCCTCCGCTCCGCTCCGTGAGAATCGCGTATAGAAATCGCCCTATACGCGATTTGCTTCCGAGCTCGTCCTTGCAAATACGTTATTCAGACGCGAATCCTGGAATACCAGCGGATGGATCAAGATATCTTGGTGGAGGCATCGGCGTTCTGTGTCGCGCCTAAAAGAAAATCAATAATAGAATAGACAAGATTTTTATTGTATATAAGACGAGAGAAAGAGCCTCGACTCGCATTATCCTCTTACTTTATAATAGAAATTTAATTTTTACCACTATTCGCCCAACATATAAAATTCCATTTGAAACATTTTTTAAATCGCGATACATAATCCACCACTGCCGGAAAGAAATATATTATTTAATATTGCAAACATTTTTTTTTTTCCTCCTTACTCAGCTTGTGCGCAGACATGTGGCATAAAAAATGTAACGGGTAATCAAAGATATGTATGTCGACGTCTCCTCCCTCTCGTTCCTCTCTTGTCGCTTTTACGTCGATGGTGTCCACCGCACGTGGGAAAACGGGACGCGGACGAGTATGACGGCTGGCATGAAAGTTAGATGGTTATCGTCTGGGGCAATTTTTATGTGCATCGTATCCATCTGGTTGGCTCGTATCAAAATTAACACGCGAGCCAATGAAAGTTTTAGCATCGATTTTTTCCGCCTCTTGAAATTTCGCTACATAGAACCGAATGCGAAAGCGAGAAAGCGTTTTCAGCAACGAATTAAAAAAAAACGTATAATGAATTTTTTAATTACAGCCAATCTTCAAATTGAAACATTTTCATTAAGTCGGACTACACAGAGGTACTGTTAAACTAATTAAGAAAAAAAGTGAAACTCGCGCAATGGAAACTCGTATGATGGGGGGGGGGGGGGGGGGGAGGGGGGGAGGAGGAAAAAGAGTATAAAGTGAATAGCTATTTTATCCGGAAATTTATCTGTCCTGATTCACAATTCGCATCCGCATACTCTCGTTCTGGCCACGCCGCTTTCATCTTTTTTAGTATCAGTGTTTGTTAATTGATATGAAACAAACAAACGAAATAATATTGCGAAAAGTTCTGTATACACGATATCAAATATTGAATTAAATCATTTTTAAAGTAATAACACGCGTGCGAAGTGGGGGAGGGGGGAGGGGGGGGGAGGAGGAGGAGGAGCGTCTGTAATCAAACCAGTTGCCATTTATGGATAAATTTTCAATAAAAATCAAAAGGTAACGTGGTGGTTTTGGCTCAATTAACTAATTAGCGAAAATATCTCTCCTGCGGATATAATTTTATCGGAGGTCGTGCTCTCGTCGCCCTCGGAAGAGAAGAAGAGAAAGGGTGAGGCAGAAACGCTGTCGCAAAAGGTACGCATTAATTCCGTTGCTCGCTGCTCGCTTGCATCGTTTACGTGTTGACGATGTAAATGAAGCGAATTGCCAGGCACTTACTGCGAGCTATTTAAGAAATCATGAATCCAGGCGCAGCAGCGTTTCCGCGTACAGACCGACCCTTCATTTCCCCCCTTCCCCTCTCCCCCTCCCTCTCCCTCTCTCTCTCTCTCTCTCTCTCTCTCTCTCTCTCGCTCTCGCTTTATCATCTATGTACATTTCTCGATGCCGTGATTTCGCCGCTGAGGGCTCAACCTGTCAGAACGAAACGATAACGCTGAAAGCTCACGATCATTGTAATTCATTCGTCGTTTAATTCATGAACGTAATAACGAATGCACCGCGCCGGCGATAATGTATTTATTCCACGATTTACATTCGGGTGGGATTTAAATTATTGTAGGGACAATTATTGCACTTATATCACTCGGCGCGTAAACTAATTTCCATGCAGCATTTCGTATCTCCGATAAATGTACACGTCGCGTGACCAGTAAATGATCGTTCGGAGAATAAACTGCTGGTCAATTAAACTTGAGCGCTGAATCAAAGTAGATGTTATTTCTGTCGCATATTTACCGACTAAAACATTTACCGTTGGTAAAACATCTACCCTAACTTTTTTTATTACCAAGTGACAATTTGTACGGCCGTTGCGATGGGAGTGAAATGAAGAATTTATCTAGATTATGTCTTATCGACACGAAAAAACGTATTGCTCGCAAGTTTAAGGCGCGGCAACTTACGAGGGTTACAACCTAACGTTGACACATCGATAAAATTACGTACGATGCTAGGCGCGGCACTGCACTTACGCGAGGTGGGCTGCTTAAAAAAATTATGCGAGCTTAAAAAGTTGCCGTCCTAAAGAACTCGCGCTCTCGCTGGTGACAACCTCTGCTTTGCGTCTTGGTTTTCTTAATTCTGAAAGAAACCGGGATGGTAAACGGGACGATAACGCTAAAGTTACATAATGGTCGTCTAGCATGATCTGTGTTCTTAATTCCGGCCGAATAAAAAACCGGATAATGGCGGAAACTCGCTCGCATGTTCTCACGGAAACAAAATGCCCCCCGAAGACGGACGGGTTGCTATTACCGTTAGCGAAAAAGCATTCCTCTATGTCCGTATTAACATCCCGCCGATACCTTTTCGTATCGATACCGTTTCGGTCATGATATTTGCGCGAGAACGAGTGGACGAAGCCGTATGTAACATTCACGATTACATTTCCGAAGCGTTCCGCTGCGATTTCAAACTTGAATTGATTGTTGCTGTAGCACGATCTATTGTATCCCATTCTCTATCCGGAGCGGGGATAACTTTGCTAAAAACTGTGCCACTGTGTGAAATTGATAGTTTGCAGAACATGTTCTAGAATATTGATCTTCAACCTTTTATCCGCTTTAACAATTTATAAAAGTGAATCAGTGTATTAAGTATTATTACTGAAAAACAGTAAATCCTCGCTGATGATTACATCAGTTATAAGTGTAGTAGCACTTTGCTGATTCACTTTTAGAGAGTACTTGTTTGGAGATCGAGAAACTGCGGAATGTGTATATGAAAAGTATCTAAAGAAGTATTTAAAAATTTAGCTAGAAAACAAATTTGAAAATAATTTTATTGGACTATCAAAATAATATATAGGAAACTTAAGCATAATAAGCAATGTTGCAAAAAGTTTTGATATTTTAGCGATCAATTTGAGCGTCCTACATAATTTTGATGATCCAATAAAATTATTTTTAGGTCTATTTATAAACTAAATTTTTAGATCTACTACAGCAAAACCGTTCTTTGTGTATTATATTGTATATTATATTTTTAATTTCTCGGTAATTAAGTATAAATAAGTAAAAATAAGTTTTAAATGATAAAATTATTTTTAGATCTGCATCTAATTAAATTTTTAGATACTTCAAAATCGTCCTTTCTGTGTAAAGATAAGGTATTGTATTATTTTTTAATTACTTCGGAGACGGCTTGAAGTGGAGCGTTCTGAATTGTTACATATTTTTATTTAAATAAGAACAGATTTTTTAAGAATAAGAATAGATTTGACGACTTAATTTTATGCTCTTATATTGTTTGCGCTCTCATTTTTGCTCTACATTTTTCGCTTGATTTTCAATTTCAAGAATCTTTAGATCAATATACCCTTTAAAAGTTTCTTCTCTGTTTATAATAGGAGACTTTTAAACAGATTTTACAGTCATCGTAAGAATATAGAAAATTTAAAAAAAACTTTTTCTTCTCATTATGTCTTGAAAATTAAATACAGACATTTAATAGTCTAACGTAGGTTGTTTCACCGGTTTCACAGCGTTACCGTTTACTCTTTACCGTGCTTTTCACCAAAAGACACGATTAAAAAGCTGCCGCGGCGACGCCGTCGTTTCTTAAAGTTGTCTTGCCTTCTAAACGCTAATGAAACGACTGAAATAAGTTGCCAGCGCTTGCCTCGGACGACTTACAAATTTACTGTATTTTGAGCAGCCGCTTCGCAGTCCGCTCCGGCTCTATCTTACGTAATGTGAGAAAAACGAGAGCGGCGGCCGAGACGGTAGTAAAAAAGTTGAGCGATTACAGTATAATTCTTTTTGCGCTGGTTGCTTGACAGTTAATCTATTTATGCGCCATTTCCAAACGTCTATTTTGCGATATACATATAAAACGCGCGTTCTATACATATTGTTCTATACAATATTAAAGCGGAAACAAAATATTCTCAATATATCGATCTAACGATGTTATGTCATGTCAGGATTGTAAGGTAACTGTTTAATTAAGTACGTACAAGTTACCTTACTGGCCAGCACTCCTAAATCCAGCTCTATACGTCTATTGATAATACTATAATCCAAGATAATATAATCAGAGTAGTCCGAGCATAACAGAATTAGCTGGTTAATCAAGCTGGTCGATGCAACTTCTTACTAAGATTCCTGAATATTAAAGGACAATCTTTAACGCTAATATTCGTTAATAAATCATACTATTAGAAGGATAATCGTCGTTATATTAATGTTTATTGTTTATGATAGTCTCGATTTCTCCGATAAGACATTTTTTAATACGAGCGAAAAAGGCTATATCTAGTCAAAAGGATCTTGGAACCTTCGAAGGACCTGACTCTAAAATTTGTAATTAGGTGTAGTTACTGACGCTAAGATTTGTAAAATCCGTTTAATTTATGCTAATTAAAAGGTACTAATTAATTTTAAGGAATTAAAAACTAAAATAACGAAAAATGAATATTGATCTTTGAATCATATTTTTATTCCCTCCGTCTGTATCTGCAATTTGTTTTTTACTGTTCTATAGTCTTTCCAAAAAATTCAAAAGGTTACTTTACAACATCTCTATTACATGAATAATTCCATTACTGGATAGTTTTTTAACAAGATATTTTGGGAGAGAAAGATCACTGACCTTGATCTCTTTGAGGGTTAAAGTCATGAGCAAGGTCAGTTGGAGGTCATTTGGAGCTGACTGTGTAAAGGGAAAATTTTACCAAAAATCGAATATGAATATATTTTTAGATATTTAAAAACCATTTATA